TGGTTCTCATTCTGTGGGTCGGGACCCCTTTGGGGGTCGAACGGCCCCTTTCACAGGGGTTGCCTAAGTCCATCGGAAAACACATATATAATTACATATTGTTTTTGTGATTAATCACTATGCTTTAATTATGTTCAATTTTGTAACAATGAAATCGGGGGTCACCACAACATGAGGAACTGTATTAAAGGGTCGCGGCGTTAGGAAGGTTGAGAACCACTGGGTTAGGGCAATGCACACTTAAGTTTTTGTTGAAGAAAGTAAACTCTGGCCCTGACCGGTTTGGCTCAGTGGATAGAGTGTCGGCCTGCGGACTGAAGGGTCCCAGGTTCGAGTCCGGTCAAGGGCATGTACCTGGGTTGCGGGCACATCCCCAGTGGGGGGCGTGTAGGAGGCAGCTGATCGATGTTTCTCTCTCATCGATGTTTCTCACTCTCTATCCCTCTCCCTTCCTCTCTGTAAAAAAATCAATAAAATATATTTTTTAAAAAAAAGAAAGAAAGAAAAAGTAAACTCCGGGACTCCTGTAGGCCCAGGAAGGACAAGGCGAGGTTATAAAAGGGCAAAAGGTAAATGTTACCTGTGACTATGATTGTGTTTTGGGCTGGCATATCTGACATTTTTCAAATGGTACACCTTAAATATCTACAGGCTATTGCATGTCAGTTATGCCTTCGTAAAGTCGCTAAAAAGTAGTTCAACATAAAAAGCTCTGGCTCTCCCACAGGCTTTGGAAAGCAGAAGTGTGAACAACCCAATGCGGACCCCACTCCGCTTTCCTTATTCCCGGAGACAGGCGGCCCCGACTCCGTTTCGGAAACATTGTTGAGCAACGGATCCGTGAGGACAGCCACACGGGCTGGTCGCAAAGCCACAGCCCAGACAGTGGACGCCATTCTCTGTCCTGCCTGTAAGCAACGGACTTGAGCTGAAGCCCAGAATGACAGCGGGAACTCACAAAACCTTTTTTTAAAATTTATTGGTTTTTTTTTTGTTTTTGTTTTTTAATATATTTTATTGATTTTTTACAGAGAGGAAGGGAGAGGGATAGAGAGTTAGAAACATTGATCAGCTGCCTCCTGCACACTCCCTACTGGGTATGTGCCCGCAACCAAGGTACATGCCCTTGACTGGAATCGAACCTGGGACCCTTGAGTCCGCAGGCCAATGCTCTATCCATTGAGCCAAACCGGTTAGGGCTAAAATTTATTGTTAATCCTCACCCGAGGATATTTTTCCACTGATCTTTTTAGAGAGAGTGGGAGAGAGAGGGACAGAGAGAGAAACATTGATGTGGGAGACATCGATTGGTTGCCTCCTGCACATGCCCCCGACAGGCCCAGAGAGGGGGCTTTCAACCAAGTACGTGCCCTTGCCCGGAATCGAACCCGGGACCCCTTGGTCCACAGGCCGACGCTCTAGCCACTGAGCTACACCGGCCAGGGCTCCAACCCCTTTCGATGATTTGCCCTGACAGTGACGGCAGCTGCGGGATACGCCCTCTGGGGCTGCTGGGGCTCCTCGCGGCCTTGGGAGATTTCTGGGTGCAGGTTCCGAAGAGGCACCTCCATCTGATTTGCAGCGGCTCCTCTCTGCCTGTCAGTTGCACCCGGGGTTTCAGTCCCCATGACGGTTGCAGTCGGCTCCCCTGGCCTGAGGAGTGGCACCCGGCCGCTTGCAGAATTCTGACCATCAGGACACGTGGCTCCTTTTTTCTTTTTTTTCCTATTTATTAATTTTTCTTCCACGTGGCTCCTTGTAGAACCTGGTGAAAAGTTTCCCCTCGACAGCACTGAATGTTACGTGGGGCCCCCTGGGAGCCCCCCAAAGACAACGGAGCTGCCAAGGGGAGGGAGCCCTCCTTGGGGTGACTGACCTCTGGTCTCAAAAGACTTGCAGGCCACACACATCAGGGACACGGAGCCCTGCCCTGGTCCCAGGTCTCGGGCGGCAATGCAGGTTCGCCAGCGTCGGGAACAAAGATACCGTCATGACCAGCTATGGCGCCGCCGGGGCACTGGGAATGCCAGGGGACACTTTGTAAAGCATATGATTGTCTAACCGACAGTGATGCACCCGAAAGGAACACAAAGCAGCCTTCGATGGACTTGCTCTTCCACCTCCTGGCCGCCGGCTGTGGATGGTATTTCAGCCCCCGGAGGGGCGGGGGGCGGGGGCAGCAGGAACTGGAACCTACTGTGGGCACCCTCAGGCCCCGCCGCCCCACCTCCCCGCCATCCTGCCGCCTGGAGATGGAGCCTCAGAGGGGCAGGCGCACGGGCCGGGCCGCTGAGCTTCCTGTGCCGCGGGAGCGTGTGGCCGACTGACTGAGCGCCTTCTGTGACATTTATCTCGTCCTTTGGGGAAAGGGAAGTCGCTGTAAGAGTTCTGGGTTGGCTGCGGCCACATCAAAATCAGTCTCGTTGCCCTTCGTGGCACCTCCTCCTGTGCCTTCCACTGAAGCACCGGCTCCCTCCACGCCCGCCTCACACCGGCTCCTTGGACGGGCTGTCATTGCACGGACGGTGCTGGGCCGGCGCCGGCGCAGGGCGCTGGGAAAAACTCACCCAGCGCCAAGAACCCCCCAGTCTGCTGACGCCGGGAATTCCGGAAGAGACTTTGTTTTAAAATTAAGACTAAAGAGCCGTCCCGCCCTCCATACAAACCAAGCCCCATTCTGTTTTCCGCCCGCCCCACGCGGTGCACAGCACCCCGCGACGGGAGGTGGACTCGGCCACGAAACCTCCGCTGTCGGGCAGACAGTCCCGTCACCCGCTGGTGCCTTGGAGGCTGGGAGACCGACAGCTTCCGAGAAGGAGGCCGCCTCTCCCGCTTGGCTCCAGCAGATCCTGTGCACGGCCCCACGCGGGGCAGCTCCACGCGCCACTGGAACCGGAGCTCAGCGCGAGGGCGCAGGCTGCTCGCACCCTCCTCCGGGAACGGCGCCAGCACACGCACCCGTCGGGCCTCAGGGACTGTGCCAGGCGGTGGGGGCAAGACAGCTCCTGCCAGGGAGCCGGGGCCTCAGGATGGGGTCTGCAGCTCCCGTGAGCCCACACCCGCCTGGAACTCGGGGGGAAGCTCAACCTTCTGGACACTTGGAAGGAGGGGCTCCACTTCAGGCACATGGCTGCTGGGACGCCGTGAGCGGGGAGACGCGCATTTCCTCCGGGCGGAAGGCTTTTCTCAAGTGTGGGCCTTCTGGTGTGGACAATCAGGGGTTGGCGCCGGGCCGGGGGACTTTGCCAACGCTGTCGCGGTGCGGCTTTTGGGTGGAAGACGGAGCGCAGGCGCGGCCCCGCAGAACTCCTTCCGCTGGCTGCAT